TGTGGGCAGCACACTTGTCGCAGGGGGATAGTCCTGGCTTGTTAGCTCCGCTTCCAGGTCGCCCTGCGTTTTGTAACACCAAGTTACAAGAACAGACCTGACACCAGGAGCCTCCTCTGCGAGCTCAGATTTACCACTTCCCTGTGAGCATCCTGGCCGGCGGGTGACAGACTCCCCGCAGGGTCTGTAGAGCCCGGGAGCTGTTGGTTTTCTGCAATCTATTCACTGCTGAAAGCTAGGATGTTTTCTCAAGAGGTGGAAGATGTGGTCCAGACTGTCTTTGGAGGGAGGAGAGGAAAGAATTTAGGTCTTGCCCTCTTCAGGTAAAATACAAAAGGCATCGTTGCATTTACACTCTGCAGACAGTGGTGTCTGTAACTGCGTTTTGAGAGGCCTGCCACTATGTGATATCTGTGATGGGAGAAAGCCTTCTGGACTGAGCCCTTTGGGAGACTTTGGACGAAAATCAAGAATTTTAAGCTCAGCTCCATTCAGCCATGGATTAGGATGCCTGGTACTCACGTCTAACAGCCGGGGCTAGGCATGCGCCAAGCTGCAACTTCAAAGTAGAAATTAAGTGCTGCAGCTGCAGAGCACCTCCCATGTGTGGGCAGCAACTGAATGTTGTTTGTTTGTTTTTAGATCGCAATCTTAAACCAGTCACTTTTCCTTTTTACAATTACAATTTAGGAAATTAAATTTACTCCGAGTTACACTTTAGGAGCCAGTCCTTTACTGGATCTCACCCTTAATGACTACGTAGGAAACTCTCTGCGTTTGATCCTGTTGATGCACCATAAATGAGATTCTGCAGGTTCTGCTCAGTCTGTATAAAACAACATTCGAGGATAACGAAGTTTGAATTTCACTCTTTGCCATATGGAAAATATACGTGGCTCACCTCTGGATAGCTGGATCCCAAGGTGTAGCTGGTCAGATAACACCAATTACTCTGGACTGGAGGACAGCAAAGGGGTGGGTGGGGGGTTGCTGTGACAATAATTTCCAGTTCTGGTCTGAAAAGCTGGGCTAAGGAGGACAGCTCTGTGCTCTGCAGGCTCCAGCTTAAGGCTCAGTCCTGGAATCTCAGTTGAGCCTGGAGGAGCAGTGGTTGGGCAGCACTCTGTTATTTCCACCTCCCCAGGAAACTCTAATCTTCGCTTTGTGGACTCAGCCCTCACTCAAGGGTCCTGTACGCTTCAGGGGAGTGCTGTGCTGTTTTATGACAACGTTTTCTAACCCACCTGCTGCAGAGCCCAGGCACTCGCTGACTCAGTGGCACTTTCTGCTCCATTTGGTTGCCTATCAGTCCTTGGTTCAGATCTCCTCTTTCCAGTTTGATAGATTCACGTTGGTTGCCTGACTACCCTCTTACTCCTATCTTCATCCTTCAGATCAAAAAGACTCAAGGAAACCTCTCAAACAGTGTGCGAGGGGCTGAGGCAGGGCAAGTCTTTTTTGCTGAAGTTCTGAGGGCTGCTGTCTCCAGATGATGAATTTTCAGTCATTCACAAAGCCCATTCCTCTCATGGTCCTTTTTTTTTTTTTTTTTTTTTTTTGGTGTGTGTACGCACTATGTTGCATGACAGTGGTTTTCTAATTCACAAGTTCATACTTTGGACACAGGATATATGAGATGAAATTTTATTTAAAATTACACATTTGCTGTTGTTACAGGGATGGAAGAGTATTTCTTGAGTAAATTGAAATAAATACACAGGTGGATTAATCTGTCAATTAAAAACCATCTGTAGAATTTTCAAAGTGTTCAGAACTTAGAAGGGTCTCATTTTATATTAGTTTAAGCTTTTCCTGTTTATTATTTATTTCTGGTTGTACAAATTCAATGCTGAGTTTTGGGACACCGAGTCCTCTAGAGGGCAAAATAGATTTAACTTTAGCTCTCTGAGGAAGCAAAAGAATAACCCTGCAAATAAGCCTTTTTCCTTCTTTGTCAGTGGATAATTTAAAACATCCTCTTTCTTTGTGGCTCTTGAGCTTTGATTCTCAAGTGTACTGAAGTGCCTAATTAAATGGGAATTAGGTATTTGAATTCTTGTGTGGCCCTAAGCCTTAGGATTTAACTGACTTTGTGACACTCTGTGCCTCTCCCCTTGCAGGTGTGGGTATGGCCATGAGAAAAATGGGAAGCATGGCCAAACCCGATGTTTACATTATTAAGGATGGGGACACAATCACCGTAAAAACAGAAAGCACCTTCAAAACTTCACAGTTCAGCTTCAAGCTTGGCGAGAAATTTGAGGAAAATACATTAGATGGCAGGAAAACTCAGGTGAGTATACTAGACTTTCTACTGAAAAAACACAGTTCTTTGGGTGTTTTGCAGATGGAAGTGCTATTTAAAAATCGGCTTTGACACCCACACTGACAGTGCTTTATTTGACAAACGGCTGCCTCTGTAAGTCTCGATGAAATAAATTCTTTTTTTTTTTTTTTTCCCCGTGGATTAAACAACCTCCAAAGAGGGAAAATGCTGAAACCAATAATGTCTTGTGTATTTTATTGTTTTCAATTTGTAGCAGAAGCATTGTGTTGGTAAAACTAACAGACCTCTAAATCCCTGTTAAAACCAAATGTCACTTCAGTTGAAGTCTGTGGAAAAAAGCCCATTGATGTTTAATCAGAGGCAATTCAGCCCTAGGGTTAACCTTTCTGCTCAGTCTGACATTTGCATAACAAAGGAGCCTGGTTCAGTGTGCGGTGGGATAATTCATACGTGTGAATCACAGTCCCTAATCTCTAGTTTTAGAAGGCCAATAGCTTCTCCCTGCACCAAGCAGGGAGAATATTCATCCAAAAGGAGGTTAAACACAACAAAGCCCTCGAATATGTCTCTCTCATTTCCATGTGTGAGTCTTCTCTGTGCACCGTCCCCCCTCCAGCCACAGACTGGCAATTCGTCTGTTATTGCAAGATCAGATAAAGGTTGCACAAAAGCTCAAAGCCCACGTACAAAGAGATGGACAGAGAACACCGTCTGCTCTCGTTAATTGAAATTGTGCATGCTGTCAAAGGTCTGCCTGGTGCAGGAATGGGTCAGAGCAGTGAGTGAACAAGCAGCGAGGTAACGTAAGAGGCGCATTAAAACATTGAAGATAATATCCTGGCTTTGTAGAAGTCAATGGCAAAATTGGTATTGAGTGAGCTGGACTGGGAATTTTCCCTTCACAATAAGGTGTGGGAAAGCTTCAGTCTCCATCAAATGTTGTGGGTAAAATTCTAATATTCAGTTTCTTCTTTCAGACCCTTGTCAGCTTAAAAGATGATGGGTCATTGATTCAGGAGCAGGAGTGGGATGGCAAGAAGACCATAATAACACGGAAACTAGTGGATGGACAATTGGTGGTGGTGAGTTCAGTCCCACTATCTGAGCGCTGCTGGCCAGTAGCCTGAGAAGTGACTCTGAAAGATCTATAACCTATACCGAGGCAGATTAATAAATCCATCTCTTTATCTTCTAGGAATGTGACATGAATGGTGTCAAGTGTACTAGAGTCTACCAGAAAGCATGAGGACATCATTGTGTTCAGTAGGAACTTGCTACAAACAACTC